AAAAAAAAAAAAAAAAAAAAAAAAGATCCAGAACTCTCACTGGTCTAAATATATGTTTAAAAGGGTAAAAAGTCAAACCATAGGGAAAAGATACTTGCAAAATACATATCTAATAAAAGTTTTATGTCCAGAAGTTATACACAATCCAATAAAAGTAAAGTTATATTTTGGGACTTGTTATTAGAAAAATGGAAATTAAACCCATACGATATCATTATGTGCTATCAAGATAGCTAAAAGTGTTCAAAACTGACTATTAAAGTAGCCGTGGGACTTCCTTACATAATGTTGGAGGGAGGGTGAAGTGGTAAAGTGACTTTAGAAAGCCATTGGATTTATTTACTAACCTATCTTATCCTGAAGAATAGAACAAAGAGAAATTCATGTATATGTGCACCAGAAGATGGGTACTTACTGGCATTGTGTATGATTACTAAGACTGGACATAACCCAGGTGTCTGTCAGTAGTAAAATGGGTAGATAATCTGTGAGAGACTTGTACAAAGTATGAAAGCCGTTTTGGACTGCAATTATTAGGTAGTGGAATGCCATGAGCAGCAACATAATAACAGAAATGCATGTTAGGAAGTCGCATCTGGTAATGCTCTGCATAATTTTTTGCATATTTTCTTTTCAAAAGTTCCATGTGAATAACGCTTTCTAAGAGAAAATCTGGAGTTATCCAGTGTTATTTTAAAATAATTTTCTTCTTATCTTACACTGTTTTCCTGTTGAATCTATTTCAACATTAAAAAAATCATACTAATCATTTAAATGTAATGCTTTAAATTTCACCTTTCAAATGCCTCCCTTCTTGCAAAGAAGTTCATTGCATAATATATGAAAAGAATGTTTAGTTTTGAAAAATAAACTGAAAGTGAATCTATCTAACTATATTTTCAGTTGTTTAACTTATAGCAAAGGATTTTTTTTCTTTCCTCTGTTTTGTTTGTTTGGGAATTCTAGCTTATGAAGTAATTGTGTCAAGGTTTGTAGATACTTTGGTTCTAAAATTAGGAGTAATTCATGAAGACAAAAACTTCTGTTACTTTGAAGTACTTATTTAATATTTATCTGTTAGCATAATTCTTATAATTCTTTGTCTGCATTGCAACATTTACCTCTTTATTAAGTAGACAAGTCATCATATGAGAATAAGAAGCACAAGAGAAATTGAATTTGTATCACTATTAGATTTTCTTTATTAGTAATATATATAATCATACATTACATGCAAAAAAATTGCAATGCAACCCAAAGTTTATAGATTCTGGCACACCAAGAGTAAGTAACACATACAAAAGTTTATGTATTTTTTGTATACAACTATCTGAGTCAAATATGAAGAACGTAAAAATTATTTAATGATGTGCTTTTTGTTTGATACAGTGTTAACATTTTGATCTGCATATGAGACCATTGTGATATATCAAGTAATTGTTTTGAAAGTTATATCTGATCATCTTGTCATATCTGGAAATGAACATAAAGTCTGACATATGATAGCTTAGTTTTTAATGTAAGTGAAGATATATATTTTAATAATAAAAAGACACTATGGTCATACAAAACAATGTAACAACAACAACAACAAAAAGACGCCCTAATTATTGAAGAAAAGCCTCCCAGACCATCAACACAAAAATAATGCTGTATACTTTTAGATATTTTTCTTTCTGCATTGCCACAACAAGCAATATATGTATTTCCTTCTATTTTCCTTGGGGGAGCACATAGATGAAATACAGCTTCTTAGAAAAATATTTTTGAAAAGCAGATATAGAGAAACAATTTAAAAGCAAACACAGAAAAGGTGATTATTGTTAAATCCATGGATTTTGTACAATATTTTGAAAGACATGGTTATAATTTCATTTACTTGAATACAAAAGCAGTAAAATATGAACTATTCTAGACTTTTTAATGCTATCACTTGGCATTTCCATGTGCTTTTCAAGTTCTTAGATAACTGCAAATTAGAATGTTATCTGCCATAGAAGCTGAATCTACATGCTGTACAGAAAGACTCTGGCTTTTCTTTCACCTGGATTCTTTCAAGCAAAGGGATCAATTCTGCTTTTCTCTCAGACCCCAGAATGCAGGAAAGGGACAAATTGGTAGAAAGGTTTAAAGCCCATGATATATTTAACTCAAAGCTACAGACTAAATAAGGAACAATTTTGCTACCATTGCTATTGCTGGGGAGAAAAATAATTTGTGAACATGAAACTGTTTAGAATATTAAAACTTAACCAAGAAGAGACTCTAACCAAGTGAGTCCTTAGCACGATTTTTATTTTTTGCTACTGAAACAAGAATTTTTAAAAACCAAGGGTTACTAGTTACTTAAAGTGTAATTAAAAACTTGAGCACATATTATTTTTCCTATCATAAATTATCTTTGGATAACAAAAAAATGTATCATTAATGTTACAAAAATTAATGACAAGTGACAAAGCACCTAACATATAGACTCACTTAAAAAACTTGCTTATTTGCTACATTTGGTAGATTTTTCAATTTGTTTTCATAAAGCTTCATTTGCAAAAGTGTTTTCTTTTTCATACAACAACAAAATGAAAATAAGATCATTTATTATTTTAAATTTGAATTATTATTTAATTAGATGAAAAGTCAGGAAATGTGTTGCCAAAGGAAAGTGGTGTTTCTTAGTTGAAAATGCCATTTCTTCTGATATATTCTGATAGAAATGGGAATTATATATACATATATATATATGTATATATATTCCCTTTATATTTATATACATTTATTCCTATATAATGGCAAGTATAGTTCAATAAGTTACACACACACACACATATATAATATGTAACTTATTGGCATATAATGGAAATGAGAATATACACTAATATTTCTAACTTAATTCTCACTAATTTAATGAGATTTTGTATTCCAACATTTATGTGGAATACTTTACACAAATTTTTATCATAGGAGTATTAAATTATAAATAACACTTAATTTTATGACAGTTCATATTTTCCAATGAAATTAATTGTTTGGAATTAACAATTAATAGATAATGGAGTAATTTGAAAATCTTATTAAAATCTAAATTAAAGGGATATAGTTGAAAGCATATTTTAATTTTCATTTTATTTCCAGAATACAAATGTACTCAGAGCTTTCAGTTAAGGAGATAAGGCTTTGACAAATTTTATCAATTGCTTTTTATTTTGATAACAACTACCATATAATTTCCACAGTTTTATTTTATGATGAGTGTGCATGTGTATGTGTGCATGCTCACATGTGTTTGCTGGGAAGTGGTGGTGAATATTTGAAAGTATGGTTAAAACGCAAAGCACCTGAATGATAACAGAAAATTCAACAGAATCAGCCATAAACAAAATCACAGGGTCTTTGGATTCAAATCAAATTTAGCATTAATTTTAAATTTTTTCAAAGATGTTTTAAAATATGCAAAAACAGAACAAGAAGAAACACTTTGTTTGAGTATATGTCAGAAATAGCAGTCATTACCTGACAATTGTCATTTTCTAGATTTCCTTTACCTTTCCTTCAGTTCAATTTGAAGTACAGTACTGTACAAGGTAGGTTTTTTCTTTGTGTTGTCTTTAATTGCTCAGCTTCTAGCTGAGAAACCAGACAGAGAATAGCCAGCATGTTGTTTTAACTGTCTTCTTAATCAATAATAAAACAATAACCAAAGTGATCTTCAATTTTGTGCAGGCAGCCTCAGCCTTGTTATGAAAACGATACTTTAAAACGGATATCTGTATTTTTGTATACCTATCCATACAAAAGTGCAAAGGCAAATCCTGGTACAAGTAACCTCAATGCGCTGACCTACTTCCTAGATTTCACTGGAATTTGTTGTAGGGAATATTGCTTATAATGAATGGATCTCCAGCTATTGTTAGGAATTGTTATATGTAATTGGGTTTATAGATCTGATTATGACAAGATTTGGTTAGAAGGAAAGAGTTCATTATAAAGTGAAAAAAAGTTAATCAGGATTAATTCTATCCCCATTTTGTTTTTCTAATAAATGAAAGTAGTTTATTAAGAAAAACAAAGAAACAAAATCACTAGGTAGTGCTTCTGATCAACACAATTTTTTCTTATTGTTATATTACCCAAGTTATGCCATTGACTCATAGAAAGAGTATTCTGAGAACACTTACCAGATTATTATTTGTAATACTGAGTTTATAAATCCTGAAAATAAGCTGATATTTAAATCTAATTTATATAAATGTGGTTGCTTACATGGAAACTACAAGCTGGGAAGTAGGTCTGTTGGTTTGCTCTATTCCCTTGAGAAATAAGGACTCTGTATTTCCATAGAGCAAATGAGTTTTGAGTTAATACAGCAGTGATCAGGAGCAGCTCTGCACTGAGTCAGAGCAGGGGTAAACCTAAGGGCAGATGGGAACAAACTGTATCATAGCCAAGAAGAGTAACAGGAAGCCTTGTTCTTTTCCCGCTTTCTGGATGGAGCCCTGCAGAAGTAGGAGCAGGAAGGAGGAATCAGGTTTACCACTTCTGGAGATGTAGAACAAGAATCAACTGATGGGTTTCCTGTGCTAGTAGGATATTAGACACTGACTCTAATATAGAGTCAAAGTAACAGAGAGAGGGGATCCCTTATTTGAAGATAAGGGGAATAGGGGTGACCCACCCCGATGTCAGGCCATGAACACAGTAATGCCTCAGTGAGCAGCACTGAACTGCACTGATCACTGCACAAGGAGATCCATTCAGGAGACAAAACAGAGGAAGGACTTGTAGGTCTTACTCTAAAGAGAATCCATCTATATAAAGACACATTTCAGGGAGAAGTGAGAAAAAAGAACAAAGAAACAAGGAACAACAACCAACCCCTCCCCAGTTCAAAAAACAAGCAAAGCAAAACAAAAGGAAACACAAAATCCTCAAAAAGCAGCAAAATTAAAAAAGACATTCAGAAACCCTTAAGTAGGTCTTTTCCTCCAAATTTAAAGGGGACCGTCTGTTCTTTGGAAGTTTCTGGTAGAATCATTACATGATAACATCCACTGATTTTAAACTATGAAGTTTTGTCTGTGGCAAGAGAAAAGCCATAGTACACTCTGGCAGAAATAAATATACAGTTTAATATTGCATTTCATGGCTATGCTATAGAAAGGTAACCATATAAATGGCATATTTTTTTGGGTGGGGGAGGAGGAACTCTAATATATCACTCAAAATCCAGCAGGGCTTCCCTCTGCTTGGAATCTTTCCAGGGTTTACCGAGGACTGACAGCCTGTAACCTGGCCTTCCGTCCTAACTCTGAGCAGGGAAAGGTGTTCAGCCAAACCTACTCAGGCACTTGAAGTTATGGAAGGACACCCACTGTTAGCAGGGTGTGTTTGATTTGATGTTACAGCAGTATTGGATGGTGACATTGCTATGACAAGATACAGAATAAGCAACACAGAAGCTCAGATGCAGAGGGAATCAGGGCAAGAAGAAACTATGAGACTTGCAGATTCTGCAAATACCCTGCAGTGTTGGGGCACTTCTGCCCTCCTCCAAATGGAGAGAGGTAACTGCAATTCCCCTCTCTTAGAAGCTTCTGCTTTTTTTGGGGGGGAGTCAGTGAAGTCACAACACCAAGTCACACAAATGTAATCTTTTTTTTTCCCTAGTATTCATTAATTGAAGCGCTTTTACTACGTTTACATCATCCAAGCTCCTGCTTACAGTGTGAATGACCACGTTTAGTATCATCTTAGGAAAAGTGTCATCCATTGCCTTTGTTACTCCCCTTTCTCCTCCTCCCACTGTGCTCTATTTTTATCATTTCTCTCATTCCCATTTAGTATTTTGTAACTTTGTATTCACACAAAATTTCCTAACATTGGTGGATAATGCCATTAAACACAACACTTATGTATAGCAAGCAAAAACCCAGAAGTTTCTTTTAAGAGACTTGAAAATGAATGGAATAAGCTGCTTTTAACATCTAGATCCTTTTAAAAATCAAATTGCAAGGCATGCAGAAGGAAGTTATAGGCAACATTTAAAACAACCTTTTCCTGAAAGGTTTTTGTTGCTTAACATTTCTATTATGGTGTTTTTGACAATATCAAGGTAAATTTCCCTCTCTCCAAAGGGCTTCTGTGTTCCCTATCTGAAATCATAAAACAAATGTACATTTTCCCAATAGGGAGTGCACATATTGCTAAGAGTGCACATATTAGTTGGAATTTAAGCAATTATTGTGTTTTTCACAATGCAGGCTGATACTTCGGGCACATGATTCAGGTTCAAGAAGCCAACTATTTAATCCATGAAGTAGCTCTGGATAACAATAAAATTGAGATACAGAGATGTGGAGACATCAGTTATTACAAAAACGAGGATTATCTTCTTCATGGAACATGATTAATATTATCATTCTTTCAAAACTGAAAATCAAGAGACCTATCACCTGAAAAATATAAATTTTATCTATTCTTATATTGTAACGTATGTATATATTGTAACATATTCTGATGAAGTGAGCATTTTTTATACTCACAAAGAACTGATATAGTTTTTGTGGTGTTCTAGCAAAGACATACATTTTTCTGAAATCCTAGGCTGCAAAACTATTTAGTGTAGTTGTTTTCACTAACTATAGCCACAGGTAAGTCCTATTTCTAGTCTGACAGATTCTGTAGAATCTTTGCAACTCTAAATAGATCGCTACCAAGTTTACAAAACAACTGAAGGCATTGAAAGATAATTCCTTAGAATAAAATATGGTAATGCCAGCTATTTATTCGTAGCAAGGTGTGATGCTGAATAATTACAATGGTAGGATAGTGCAGCCCAGTACGCACTCACCTTTGCTTATTACTCTATCTAGTTTCGCCTTGATTCTTCATTTACATTTCCTAAATGAATAATTCTGCCTTGCCTCACATTTGGTAGCATGTTCTACTACTAGATTTTAACTAACCTATTGCAAGAGAGTTTTCCTTTATTTTCACCTACGAAGTTCTTTTGGATGTGAACGAATCACAGACATGCTAAATTTCTTGAGCTTGAAAGAAAAAAGAGGAGCATGTACCTGCACTGCAAGGGATTATGGGCCCCTTAGCAGTGGAGTCTGGGATTTGCAGATTTTTGGTCTTGAACTCTGAGTATCAATTTCTAGGTGGTTTGGTTCTAAAATACAAATCTGAACTTCTCAAAGTGAAGAGGAAGCAGTAGCCTTCTCACATTTCCTTGTAACTTTGTAAAGTAAGTGCAATTCCAAATGCTGATTTTAGTGGCATTCATTCTCACTGTGCACTTGGAGGAAATTCAAAGCAAGTCAAAAATGTAGACTGTTAAATATTTATTAAATGTGTGATAGGAAGAACTTTGGAACACTGATTTTTTTAAGAATATGTGTCCAGGGTTTAGAAGTATCTTTTCATATGTTTGAGTTAAGTAGTGCCCTCAAAGATTGATGTATTTAATTTTAATGTTTTTTTAGTGTTAAATTTCTTTGAAATGCAAGGGAAGTGTTGATTTAATGTTATTTGAAGAGCACCTTGTTGTAATAGTCACATCTGATTCACCCTTAACACACTTCATAATCAATCCTAAATCTCAGTGTTAAAGGTCCTTGTGTTTATAACCCAAGTGTCCAAGACAAAACAATGTTGGTTGGATTCAATTGACCTTGACCCATCTACGCAATGCTTTAAGAAATGCCAGTGTATTTCATGAGTAGAGCTTGGTCATTGCCACACACTGCAGCACACAAAGCTTTGGCACTTGAGGTTGCTTATTTCTTGAGCAGTTATGTACATAATTACGCATATAATTCCTTGTACTCTTAATATTTTGATGATAGTAGAGAACAATGACTGGTGTGAAATGACTTCTTAATAAATTTGATTGGCTCATGGATGAATGTACAAAGTGGAACTTTTGCCAGGCTTTTTGCATTTGACATTAATGTCAGTGGCTTTAAATCAATCTGCATGCCCTGTTTTCTGACTGTGAATCCAGTACCATCTCAAACTGGGAAGAGAAGGTGTCTTTCTCAGAGTTTTGTGCCAAAGGTGATTAGAGATGGTTCCCAGTGGGTTTCCCTAGTTTCCACTCTTTTTTTTTTTGTCATGCTTTGTTGACATCTATAATTTTCACTTATAATTTTCAGTACATATAGGAAGCATTTGCTGCCTGGTAGGCCAATATTTTATGTACACTATTTCATTCTATCCTGACCACTGACTCAAGAAGGTCACATTACCATGTACCTTCTCAAGAGAAGCTGGAAGCTGGAAGAGATTACATTGTTTAAAACCACAAAGCTAAAAATTTTCATGATGTGTATTCAGATACAAATCTGTAAGACCTTAAAATCCAAGTTTTTGGTATCTTTACTTTTTATTTGATGTCATAAAATTATGGTGGATCCAGAAGATTATAGCAAAACATTTAAAACATAAGTATAATTCAGTTCCTTCTCAATTCTCCTCTGCCCATTTTCCCTCTGGGTCCTGGCAATCATTTTCCTCAGGGGGGTCTCATCTCCCGTCTTCTTTCCTTTCTGGTGGTTGTTAAGGGAAGAACGCAGGAGTAAAATAGTGAAGGAGGAGACTGAAGGAGGAATGGTTATAACTACCATGCACACAATAATTAGTAAGAAATCATACAAAGTAGCAAAATCTCTCTTTCACACCTACAGTCTGCATTCCTGGGAAATCAAACTGGGAAGAAATCTCATCCCTACCAGGAAAGCCAAAATCAGAAGGAATAACAAGGTAGAAACTTAGTTTCCTTAGATTTCATGAGAAACCTTAGCCTACCCGATTGAGCTAGTGTTGTTACCTCTGTTTAACATGGAATTGTGGGATAGTTCTACCAATCTATAACAAAAATGGCTTTCCATGCAATAGGTTAACAGCATAGTGTTTACTTAATTTGTAAATGAACCCCTTTACTGTGTATTCAATGCAGTCTAAAAGATGGTATGAAAGATGATATTTTTAGAAAAAGACGTATGTAGTACTACATCAAGACTATGTTGCTTTCAACTACATGGTAGATAATTCATAACTAAGAGTGAGTCATTAGCAGCAACAATAATTGCCGAGAAATAATTGTCATGAAAAGACAGCAATATTGGCATCTCTAGAGAGAACACATGTAATCCTGGCAAATTAAAAGGGAGAATTTTCCTCTCCAGCACTTATTTACAAATATTTCATTCCCCCTTAATGTTTTATTTGCATTATGCATTTTAAAGTACTAAATCTTTTTAAGGCTTTGGTTTTAATTACTTTGATCAGAAAATGTAAAATAAAAATCACACAATGAACATCTATCCTGGGGCATAATATTTGAGAAATGGTGGTTTTAATGGCAAACATCGAGCATCATCAGAAGGAAACATTAAAATATCTTGGCTTATGGGTTGGGTCCACATAATTACAACTGATTGGATCTGAGACCGTAAATTATTGTAGTCTTCAACAGCTGTCTCCCAGAAGTATGTTTTTGGATGTCTGATGCATATTTGTGCCTTGCTAGATTGATGAAGAGATGCACATTTTACAGTTCATCAGCTGGCAGCTTGTCGACTCAGGCACACTTCTAAGGGAAGCAGGGACCCTGTTTCATACTTCTACCCCCATAGATGACTGCTATGTACTTGATTTACTTAATCAATGAAGACAACAGTTCAGAGAGGAGATCTTCTTTGTGTGGGCCATCTATCCTGTCTACACAGATCATATTAAACAGAAGATTGGCTATTATGTCCTGAATGTCATAACAAAGAAAACTAGCCAAAGAGCAGAATTATCTCAAAGAAACTACTTAGAAGACTGGCATTTTACAAAGGAGACTTTGACATTTAGCAGAGCTCAAAAAGATCAAGATATTGGTGATGATATTATAAATGCAATCTTCAAGGAAATCATTTTAGGCCATTGTTAATATATCATGTCCAAATAACTGTACATGACTGAAAGAAGATCACACTTTTTTCTATACGGTTTTTTTGAGCCTTTCTGTTTTGAGATTAAATTCATTTTAAAAAATGTTTAAACTATTTTGGCACTCAACAAACATATGTCATTTTACCACACTGATTCACAAGATATCAATATTCTGAGCTGAATTAAAAAGAGGAAAGTCATACACAAAGAGAGCATGCAATGTGAAGAAACTACTGGGAAATGAGGAGTGTGTTTTAAATGCTTGGATGCAATGATGAGCACTTGGCTAACTGTTACGTTCTGTGAACACTTAGCAGCAAGGGAATTCCACAGTTAAAAGCGGGCAGAAAGCCCTGAAAGCCTGAAAATGGCTAATCTCCTATTGTGACTCCAAGAACTTACTTGTAGTGGAGGAGACTTAATCTTTCGGCAGCTGACAATTCCAATACAAGGTTGCAGACCCAGTGCAAGGTTACCATTCATATTCATTGCTTTTGAAATTTTGGAGCTAGGTGAAGAGATGTTGTCCTTTTAAACCATACAAAACCAAGAAATGAAAGTGCAACTGATGTCTTAACCGGATGAAAATTGAAAAGTGAACATTATAGGTCAAAAAGAGAATACCATGTTCTTTTACAAAAGACTAGAGACTGGGACTTGCCATACAATATGCTCAGAGGTAGCATTTACTTTATGTGTTACTTCAGTGAATTTAACAATCAATGGTTTTTGTTTGACAAGGTCATAAATACTTGCTAGAAAACAAAATATTACATACAGAAGGGTTACCTTCTGTGATGACCCCAGTCATATACCATGGCATTTTTGGTCCCCACTGGGCATCATCATGCTTATGTACATAAACCAGATTTTAAGTGTGGCATATTTTTTTTCTTCCGAGTGCTTCATGTAGTCTGCACGCCCCTCTAAGGATTGGAGTGGAGTAGCCAGAGAGGACACACTTTTGATAACTCAGAAGGAAGCACAGTTTTAGGAAACTAGAGCCTCCTACACATTCTCCTGGTGGCCTGCTTCCACATAGATGGTGGCTGCTAAGCTCAGTGAGGGTCTGAATGGCACAAGACCCATTTAGGGCAATGGAGTGGTTTCTGCTTCCAGATTTTCCAGCTGAAAGGACAAAGAGGGCAAAGAATGTAAGCATTTCAGATCTGGTGGGAGCACACATTAATTGAACATCTTCTGTATGTAAGAACTGCACTGATGACCTTCATGTATATATACTTTAATCTGCAACCCTCAGAGATTTTCCAAATGTCAAGACATTAATTAGTCTTTGTTGTCACCATGAATATCTCCTGAGTCATTATGAACGTGCTTTTACTCTTGTATGCATTAGTGAAGTCAAACTGTACGCTGGCCATTATAGAGATATTATTGATGGCTTCCATGACACAATGCAGTTTAAATCAAATTTTTTTTTCTTTCTCCATCATTTACTTCCTTCCTCTTTACCTTCAAATCATGTATGACTTGACCAAAATCTCAAAAGGAAAATCAAAGCTTTTCTTTGCAATACTTTTATTTTCTTTATTTCTAGGTGGAGGGATTTTCATTCTTATCCAGTTCTCAAAATTAATGAATTTTCCCTGAAGTAATTGATTTGAATTATGTCCTCAACTTACCAACAGTATAAAGATAAATGCAATAACATGACATTTGTTCAGATACATGAAACCATATCTTGCTGCTTTCAAATGAAGGAGGAGGGCACTTGAAATGGATTAACTCTTATAATTAACAAGTAACATTATTATTATAATTTTGGTAAAAAGCAAAGGAAGTATTTGCATAATATGTGTAAAGGGGTGCAAGTCTTGTTTAAAACTTTTTTTGATAAACTGAAAAATTCCAGAAAGGTGCAAGAAATCAGTGGTACAAGGAACATCTATCTGCTGCCCAGATTCACCTACTCTTAGGCCACTAGTTTGGCATTTACTTAGTCTCTCCCTCTCCCTCTGTCACTCTCTCTGCCTCCCCTCTTCCTCTCCCTCTGCCTCTCCCTCTCCCTTCCTCAGTCTCTGCCTCTCCCTCTCCCTCTTTCTCTTCCTTTCTCCCTCTATACATACACATTTTTAACCATTTGAAACTAAATTAACCTTTTACTCCTAAATATTGCAGTATCTCTTGAGAGTTAAGAGTACATCTGCCAATGTCAGAAGAGGCAGGTTGCCACGGGCCTGGATTGTCCCTGCATACCTTTGTTGAGTATGACAGAAAGCATCTTCCTCAAACTTGGACCACCTCTGTCATTAGTCACATAGGCAACTAAGTCAGTCCAGAAATCTAGAATTAAGTTGGTCCAGGCCAGCAAGCCTGTTTGAGGGTCCTACCAGCAAACTTGTTTATTGTTCTCCAGGTGCTGAGTCTAGCTCTCAGTCTTTTAGCTGATACAGAACCCGCTGTGTGTATAGCTGCCATTTGGTCCTATCAGTTGCCCTGTGGGACTTACAGGCAGAGAAACCACCTGAAAACATTTCTATTTTCTTTACAGTCATGACCAGAGTCTGTCTTTTTTGTCACGATCTATAGTGTTGTGGCAAGGCAGTCTGCTCCCTTGCTTAGTCACCTCCTCTGACGTTTTGTTTCTTTTGACATCTGCTAAGAAGTTGAGAACTTTTCAAAACAAATCATTATAAATTTCAGGATGGCAAGATAGATACCTTTGAACATAAAAGTGACGCAAGATCATGGGCTAGGTCTGAGGACCTTTTGAAACTCCCTGGGGCTGGTAGCAGATATTCTGGTGCAGGTGGTAGAAAAAAGGCAGTGAATGGTTCACCTCTTCCCACCTGCTGAGGACCATGAGTTGGCCAGGTAACAGAGAATCTAACGAGCTGCACGGTTGACATCTGCTCTCCTATGGGACCTGGGACCAGGAGAACATGCTGGGCCTCATCAGGGAGGGAAGCACAATTGTATGCGCTTTAAGTTACAATTAGAAACATCTGGCTAGCAAAATGACCCCATAGAGGATGTTCACAGTGAGAGAGAAGGGTTGCTTTGGCTTAACAGACTGAGGAGCTATTAGATGTTTGGCTGCTATTTCAGTGTGCTGAAGTGGCTCTTAACAAGGTCACAGCCGCTATAAAGATTGTATTGCTGGCTGAGATTCATGCCCCACCATGAAGTTGGCTACTCTGAATTGTTTTACTGGCTACATCATGACCGGTCCAAGGAGTGGGTGGGGCTGATTGGATCCTTGTGCTGCTCTGCTCCAAGAATAACTGTATAATTGTTACTGATCATTTACTTGTCTGCTCTGTGAATGCTCATTATGTTTTCTGTTCTGTAGGAAAGGTGATGGTGAGACACATGCACAGCAGATCCCAACTCAGCTTTAGGTTCTCTTCCATGCTTTGAGAAGAAACAATTTAGAATTCTAGGAAGAGAAGGAAACCATAGCCTTGATTAAGAACCTAAATGCAGCGAGACTAATGAAAAATGCAATGTCTCAATGTAATAGTCCCATGTGGCTAATGAAAAGAGCTAAAGGGATCTGGAGACTCACGGTGGATGATTGCCAGATGAATGCAGTTGTCCTTGCAGTACTGGCTATGCCAGATCATAGCCTGTAGTCCTGGGTGTTCAGATATTATGACTATAGATGAATCAATTGCCTATGATAGGACCTGCTTGGACTTTAGTCATGTTTTTCTTTTAAACCGGAGATAAGTGCCCTGACAGAACCTCCAAAACTTGTTATACTCTGCTGAAATACAACTTGAATTCTCCTGTTATTTGCTGCTGATAGGTGGGTCAGAATATAGGCCAAGACTCTATTCTTCTGTAGGATAGCTCACAACTATGCTCATAAGTCCCAACAAATTCAGCAGATGCTAAAATGAAGGTACAGAGAGTTTCCTAAATTCTGAGAAGACACAGAGATCAGCTATCCAAGTTAAAATCCTGAGAACATTGTGCTATGATCCCAGAGATAGTTAAGAAAACATTACTTTCCTCTATGTCTCCTCATTACCAAAAATGAAGCCTGGCACTTAATTGAGGTATTAGGGACAATGTGTGCCGTATCTGTGTATGTATCTTGGTGAGTTGTATGTATAAGTTCATCAGAAAATTTGCCATATCTGACTGGGGACCTAGACAGCAGATGGCAGTGGAGTCACTGCAGAAGTCATCCCAGTGAGCTATCCATGGAACCCTTTGAACTTCAAGTTCCTGCAAAGGGAGTCAGCTTCCCCTTGGGGTTCTGGACTCATTCTTTTTCCTTGTACCACCACCCACTTTACGGGGGAAAGAAATATCTTAGATCCCAGAGGTTCTAGGAAGGTAGAATAACTAATATTCTTTGTTTTCTCTAAACTCCAGCACTTCCCTGTGGTAAAATGATCACATGGTTCATCAGAGATAAACAGTAACTCTGTCTATCAACCTTGTCCTATTGCTAGATTTGTCCCTATCCATATGCTATGGGAGCAGAGAAACTCACATTGGTTTAATTGGCCTTAAATTATTCTTCAGGGCCTGATGTTATCAAAAGCAGCTCCTGAAAACGAGTACTCATACATGTGCAGACACATACACTGATGTAACCTTGTTTTAATGATGCTCATTTCAATTCACGTGCTTCTCTTGTACCTGAATGCACCTGGTTAACCACATATGGCTATCTAGGCTACAACTTCTTGGTGATTGTGGCCAGGTAGCTTAACCAAATCCATATCACATTTGTCAATGACTTCTAAACAATAGTAACCTGTCCCTTGGAGTTATATGCTTATATGTGGGAGAGGACTGGACACAGGGTCTCTCTCATTATTGGGTTACTATTTGGCTCATCTTTGGCTCCCTACAATTGTTGGCAATGATAGTACTCTTTGGAGCCCATTTCCTTTATCGAGTTCCCAGGTAAAAAGGGCACTTTCACTTGCAAGAGACATGGTTTCTTGTTTCTACACAGAAGTGTGAGCACTGTTCCCTGGCATCAGAATCCACATTATAGAAATAGGCTTCAAACTTATTTATAATAGTCCACAAGATAAAACAAACCATAGAAAATCAGTAGGGCAGTCTGAATTCCGTAGCATTGCTGGGACTTAAGCTATATTCTGGCTGAACAGGAAGGGTTTGCGTGGTTGCCAACTGCTTCTGTTGTGTTTGGATTAATACAGTATGGTGGAACAATCTATGCATGCCATAAATAAGGAAATTAGATAATTATCTGAAATAAGACCTATTAGCCTTTTCTGAGATTTAGTTGACTCTGGAATCCTAGCGGGTATGGTTAAGGTCAATATTGTAAACTGATCATATCCTGTGCTGGGGTTCTGTTGATAATAACTTCAATCCAGTATTGATTTAAAAAGTGGCACAGATTTGATCCTAGTTCTTGTAAATGTGTCTAAACTAAATGGTTGATTGGATGGTATAAGTAAATGAAAATTTAATTTCAGATAATAAAATACCTAATAGCTGAATTATCGAGAGATAGTTCACTGAGAATACCTTCACATTCTTTTTGACTGAAGTGAACTGTAAGACCTTCTTATCTTCTGATTCTGAGTTAGCTCTCTCTCTCCCTCCCTCTCTCCCTCCCTCCTTCCTCACCCCCGTCCTTTCCTTATTCTCACCCTGGTACATGCAAGGGCACTTATTTTATTTTTGAGATCAGGGTCTCATTAAATTGCCTGAAAGGATTTGATCTTGTGATCAGTGTTCAAGAATGATGAGGCATGTCCAACACATCCAGCTGGACATATTTCTATAGCTAGTCTACAGTCACCTTAGAGACTTACTGCCCAACTTCACAAGGACTAGCACATGAAAACTGTTTTGTATGTCTCACTCTTGAGGGAGGAGGATTGGTTTGCTTACTACTCAGTACAAAAGATGCTGGACTCTGAGCCCATTGGTAGTTGTACATTGCTCTGTACAACTTTGTAGGAGCTATCTGAGTCCAAAGTGTTACACCAAGACTTGTGGGCAAGGAAACTGGCACTACCACCATGCTGGTTCTTCTGCTGTTTGCTGTGCTTTGTGAAATACAAGTTTTTCCTCAGGTCCACTGAGTCACATTTTCTGTTTTTGTCACCCATAGATTGTGACAAGCTGGCCTACTTGCTCATTAAGATATTGCCTTTGAATTCTTG